TGTGTGTGTGTGTGTGTGTGTGTGTGTGTGTGTCAGGACCCGAAGGTGCGGGAGGTTCTCGGCTTGGGTAGGGGGAACCACCTCGAAGGCAGGCTGGTAACCATCGTCCATGGCAACGACCTGGTCAACATCTCCTTCCTCAACTTCCAGGCGATCCATGAAGATACAGCCAAGGTAACCATGGAAACCAAGATAACATAATCGACTCAAATTATATTATGCTACATATTTCTTCCTTTTTCCTCTTCCTCCCTGTGTTCTGTCCTCTCTTCCCCCTTCTTCCCGTCTTTTTGAGATTTTCCTCAGGCCATATGTTGATTACTTACTTTACAATGTTGAGATAGAGGCATGCATGTTTAGGAGTCGTAAAGAGGGATTATATCCTGTGTGTGTGTGTTGTATATAGAAACTGTTCCTCTTCGCTTTGACATCAGGCAAACAGTCAAACAACTCGTGTTTTATCAGCTCGCTCTTGTTTGTGTGTGCATTTCCAGATGTGGACGGAGGAGCTGTTCAAGCTGGCCACAAACATACTTTCCCAGAATGCATCACGAAACACCTTCCTCTTCAAAGCGTAAGACGTGTCTGTGTCTCAACACGAGCAGCTGTAGAGCTTAGGTCATTTTTAAATTTTTTGATCATACACTGTTTCTGTGTTTATCCGTCCGTTTCAGGTACACAAAGTTAAAGTTGCAGTTGAATCAGGATGGGAAGATTCCGATGAAGAAGTGAGAAACACACCAACCACTTGTAAAAAAATGCAGCATCCTTCACTTCCTCTTCCTAGTCTCTCTTCCACTTTCTCTCTGGTCTCGTCTTCATCTCGCCTCTAGTTTTTGCTCCATCATGTTAATCTGACCCTTTCAGAACCTTTTTTTTATGTTGTAAACAATGATCCTATAGCATAATGAAAGTATTTTGTCTTTTTTAACTGTCTTGATTGAAAAACTCACTGACCGATGTTGTTTTCTCACCGGAAACCTCTCTCTCTCTCTCTCTCTCTCTCTCTCTCTCTCTCTCTCTCTGTTGTTCAGCATTCTCAAGATGTTTTCAGATAAGAAGAAAGTGGAGACAGCTCTGGAGCAGTGCGGCCTCTTCAATAGCAAAGTAATCATCACAAGCAGTATCTGACCACACAGCTACTTATGTTGTGTGTTGTGTGTGTGTGTGTGTGTGTGTGTGTGTGTGTGTGTCCATACATGACAACAAATGCAACAGATCTCTCACCCTAAGGTGTTGCATTCCTCACATGCCTTTGCCAGGAAGGTAAAAAAGCATGCTTCTATGGGGCGGGGTCTAGCATGAAGATCTAAAAATTTACATTTTAATCAACCGCAAACAAGAGAGAAACATTTTTGTGCATGTTGAATAATGAGGTTCAGAGACGCACGCTGTGTCTCCACTATGCTATGCTAACTATGTCCTGGCTTCATATTCAATTGATGGACAAACATTTAAAATTAATACCGTTAATGAATATTAGATCAACATTGTCAACAGCAGGTCTAATTCAAAAGTAACAAGTGGTTGAAACACAAGGTAATAGTTTGTGTAAACATGTTGAGGAGATATAACCGTAATTCATCTACATCAGATTTATGAGTTTTAAAGCACAACCTTCACTCAGGAGCAACTGTTATGAAAATTCTTATTTTGATATATTGATACAT